GGAGAGGCTCGCCGGCGACGGAGGCGTGCGGCGGCGCGGGTCGACGACGTCGGGGAAGACGGGCGGCGCGAGGCGGCGGGGAAGTGGCCTGCTCGGGCGGCGCGGGGGCCGGGCGCGGGCTCCCGCGGGTCGGCGGCGGCGGCGATGTGGTCCTGCCACGTGGCGGCACCGGAGTGGTCGGGGGCGCCGGCGGACGTGTCCGGTCAGGCGGCGGACATGTCCGTCGGTGGCTGGGAGCTGTTTTTTTTTAAAACTAGGGTTTGAGACGAGGGGATCCGGGATTTGGAGGAGGGGGTCTATAAATAGACATAAGTGGAGCTAGGAGAGTCCAAATGAGGTGCGGTTTCGCCCACACGATCGTGGTCGAACGCTCTAGGGCATGGAGCAGAGTTTGGTGGGTTTTGGGCCAAATTTGGGGGGTGTTGGGCTGCAACACACACGAGGCCTTTTCGGTCCCTCGGTTAACCGTAGGAGTATCAAACGAAGTCCAAATGACCCGAAATTTGACAGGCGGTCTACCGGTAGTAAACCAAGGCCTCTTGGCAAGTCTCGGTCCAATCCGGAAATGTTTAAACCCCACACACGAAAGAAGACTAGAAATGACCACTGGAGGAGAACGAAGCGCCGGAATGCAAAACGGACAACGGGGAAAATGCTCGAACGCATGAGATGAACATGTATGCAAATGCGATGCACGAGATGACATGATAAGAGATGCACGAAAAAGAAAACAACACACGGAGACAAAGACCCGAACCCGAGAAATAAATATAACTAAGCGCCGGAGACGGCAAGAGTTGGATACAAATATGGAAATTATAACTGGGGCGTTACACCTTCTTCTTCGGATCACCGGCTGTATCATCTGGATCATCGTCGACGCCGTCCTCCTCCTTCTCCTCCCCCTCCTCCCCCCTCCGGATGCTGCCCTCTGGCGGCCCAATGCTATTGTTGCTATGAGCCATCGTCGGTCTGGGTCTAGGACTGTTGCGTGGCCGTCTGGGTGCAGGATTACTGCTGCTGGTAGTTGTCAGACTGGGTGGGATCCAAATCTTCCACCTGCCCGTCCTCATAGACCCCTCGTCCTCCCTCGCCTCCGTTGTGGATGATATCGAGCATCTCCCTGTTCGCGTCGTACGCCGGCTCCCCCGCTTTCGGGATTGCAGCAGCGCGCGGGCACCCATCTGCTCTCCGCCTGCCGTCCTCGCCCAAACGAGCGACGTCGAAGAACACTCCAAGAAGTGTGGTGTCGCGTTAATATCAACGATGTAAGGAACCGTACCGACGGGGTTTGCGAGTTGCTTGGTTGCGTAGTAGTACGAAGGCTTGTAAGGCTCCGGCCATGGCGCCGTCAGTACTATGGGCGCGCCCGTCTGGTGGCGTCCTCCACGGCCTCGCCGATCGCCCCGTCCGCAACGACTATCGCCACCACCAGGCCCACCGGCGGCCAGACGCTTCCTCATCTTGTCCTCCTTTGCAGCCTTCGCTTTTGACGCGGTGATTTTGCTGCATCTTTGAGCTGATCTTCCGAGCGAGCGTGATGCTCGGATCCTCCCGCACCTCCACACCTCCATCTTTGACAGGTTCTCCGACGGCTCCACACGTCGGCGGCGGAGGGAAGAAGAGGTGTGGGAGAAAAGAGTAGGAATTGGGCGGAGAACGGAGGGGAGTGAAAGAAGAAAGTGAGAGATTTTAGCGCGGAAACAATGCGGGATGCTACGAAAGCACAGGCTCGACCCTCCTTTTGGGTGGGCCAGTGGGTGAACAACAACGTTTCTCATGTTCGGATTCCTGCAAACCTTTCCTACGTTTGTCTTCAGTTTGCGGGAGAAATCGTGTCCGAACCTCTCCGCGGACCGATACTGATCGACATTGGATGACTTTCGTGATCCGAACGATTGCGAGAGGTTTACGAGTCGGCATCGAAGATGCCCTAAGCGTACATAGCTCAACAACATCTGATTAATGTGCACCGTTGGGCGGCGCTGGTTGGCGCGGTGCAACTAGCAAACGGCCCATCTCAATCGCGAGTCCTTCTCATTTGACAGCGAGCCATTGATTAACTTCTTGCTACCTTAGCCCTTAAGCAACATGGCTCTTTATAATACCTTCGCCTTCCAAGTTCCAAGTCAGTACTCAGCAGTAAGCAGTTTTTTCTCAACAAAAGAAAGTAAATAGAGGTAGATTTCACATTTCAGAGGGAAAAATGGTGGCCGTCGACCCGAAAGCCCTTCCCTCCGCCGAAGCCGTGAATCACCAGTTCACCGTGGTCATCGACGGCGCCGAGACGACCATCCACGAGGGCGTGCTCCGGTGCAACGGCGGCACGCTCACCGTTGTCAGCCCAGGCGTCCTCGAGGTCAGCAGGCTGCAGCACGTGGTCGTGCGCGGCGGCGGCGGCGGCGACGTGCGCTTCGCCCGGTGCAGCTTCGCGGCGGCAGAGGCCTGCGGCGCCGTGTCCTTCCACAGGTGCGACGCGGTGCGCGTCGACGGGGCCGGGGAAGTCGCCGTGCGGCGGTGCAAGTCCGCGGCCGTGGAGCGCGCGGGCACGGTGAGCATCCGGAGGTGCAAGGGCGCCGCGCGCGTGCACGGCGCCGGGGAGCTGCGCCTCGGGCGGTGCCGGGAGGCGGACGTGGGCAACTGCTCCGACGTGGCGCTGGGGCGGTGTCGCGAGGCGCGCGCCGACTGGTGCGGCTCGCTCGGCGTCGCGCGGTGCCGGTCGGCGGACGTTAGCCGCTGCGGCGCCGTGCGCGTCGACCGGTGCGGCGACGCGAACGTGGCGAGCTGCGGGAGCGTGATGGTGCGACGCGGCAAGGTGAACATGGTGGAGGCGCATCAGCCACTGCAGGGTTGGCAGGAGCAGCCCCTGTGTCAGAAAGCAGAGCCAGCCGACCCAGTGCCCATGGAAATCATGAGCAAGTGAAGAACTATCTGATGAAATGCGGATTATACTAGTGATATTATGTGTGTGGTACTACTATATTTCCTTTTTCTTTGAGCACATATATGGTATACTACTATTTGTTTACTGCATAGTATAGTAGAATATATTTCTACGATCTGTATGTTTCCGCTGTGCTCCATGAAGTTCTGGATAACGGCTACGCTAAATATCAGTCGACTGATTTTTGGCAAAGTCTCAGTCAATAACAATCGTGTGTACGTGTACGTTGGCTCGAACCAGCTCTTTTCTTTGTCGCTGCACGGGCCGGTGGAGATGAGAGATCCTTTCTTTTATTTTTCTTCTGGGCCTTGTTCCCTTTGCTGTGCAGCCCAAGTTTCCCAAGTGTGTTCTTTTGGTTATTTTTGTCAGCCTACAAGAAAAGTACTTTGTTTTGTTTCTTTTTCTCGCCCTACACAAGTGAGTTTTGCCTGTCGGAGAGGAAGTCACAGTGGCTTCTCTTTTTCCAAAAATAAATTTTCATTCTCATTTTTCTTTTTTTCTTTACCTTTTTCTTTTTTTATTGTTTACTTTTCATTTACTTTTTATAAGTCTTTAACTTTTCTTTTATTTATTTTTCCTTATTAGGCTTATCCTGTTTCATTTTTTTTGTTTTGTTTATTTAATTTAATTTTTCCTTTTGTCCTTGCTTATTAATGTTGTGTTTTATTCTATTTGACTTTAGCATATTTTCCAAATTTCGAGCAGCCCTATTTTAGCAACGAAATTTCCTACCAATTTTTTGTTAATCATTTTTAGTTGCACATCCATCAGATGCTTTGTAAGTAAATGTTGGTTGCGATAGTTGAAATTTTATTACCTAGATTGCTAAAATTTAGTCGATTGAGTTTAACCGAAGTCGCACTACACATATATGGCCGTTAGATCACTGTTTCCGTAAGATTCATGCAACACTGCTTGTCTAGTGTTACCCCGACTTGTTTAGCGCCCGCTTCTTCTTTCTTTACTTTTCTCGTGTAGATTCATGCAACACTGCTTGTCTAGTGTTACCCCGACTTGTTTAGCGCCCGCTTCTTCTTTCTTTACTTTTCTCGTGTTCGGAATTGATGCGCGATGTGCTGGTTGTGAGAGGCGTTTTTCATTGTTTTTGTTGGACTTTTCAATTGCCATGTACACACCATATCTACCGCGGAGTACTTGTCTCAGGGGAGGGGGTCTTCGTCCCTCGGGATTCTTCAGTTGCATTTTTTTCTTCTGTTTTCCCCTCTTTTATGCTAGGTCTCTATTTGTGAATTTATTTATGTATGCATTTAGAATTTTTTATGCTTGCATAAGGTAGGAAATGCTTTTTCTTCGATGACTGGGGATTTTTGAACCATGTAGACATAAATGTTAGTGGGTATGTTGGTTGTTAGCGGGTTTTTAAACCATGACTTTTGTTTTGTATAGGACCGACATTTTCATATTATTTTTCTTGTTTATGCGTAAAAGAATATTAGCATATATTTTTTCTTGCACCCGGCCGCAAGTGCATGTCTTCTAACCCGACCACAACTGGACTTTTTTGTTATGTCAAAGGGGGCGCCGGGAGAGGGGGCGGGCCAGTTGCAAGCCCGACAACAGCCCCGCAACTGCATGTCCCCAACATGGTTGGAACTCTTCTTTTGTTTTGTCAGAGGGGGCGCCGGGAGAGGGGGCGGGCCAGTTGCAATCCCGACAACAGCCCCGCCACTGCATGTCCCCCAACATGGTTGCAAC